TTAGGGTTGTAGGGCTACGGGCTATAGGGCTATTGGGCTATAGGGCTATACGGCTATCGGGCTGTAGGGCTATCGGGCTATAGGGCTATAGGGCTATAGGACTGTGACATATAGGGCCATAGGGCTATGGGGCTATAGAGCTATATGGGCTATGGGGCTATAGGGCTATAGGGATATAAGGTTATTAGGGCTACAGGGATATAAGGCTATAGGGCTACAGGGCTATGGGGCTATACGGCAATAGGGCTATAGGGCTATAGGGCTACTGGGCTATTGGGCTATTGGGCACCCCCGGGCACCCCCGGGCACCCGGGCACCCCCGGGCACCCGGGCACCCCCGGGCACCCCCGGGCACCCGGGCACCCCCGGGCACCCGGGCACCCGGGCACCCTGGCCCGGCCACCGAAATCGGCCACCCAGGCACCCCCGGGCACCCGGGCACCCGGCCCCGGCCACCGAAATCGGCCGCTCACCTCACCTCAGCTTTGTATCCGCTAGGACCCCTACAGAAGCAAGCTCTGATTGGGGAATCTTACACCACGCAGCTCACGCCGCCTATTACACAACCGATCTCACACCACATCGCCTGATACACCACATGGTTCACACAGCCTAGTTCACTCACATCGCATACAGCTTACACAGCAAAGATGACACCACATAACTTGCGCACCATAGTTTGCACGCTGCAGTTCATACCACAAATGATACACAACATTGCTTACGCTGAGCGGGCACACCTCTGTTTGGGATCCGCGCTGGCCAACCTTTTCTTAAGCCATCGGTCGGGTATCCGGGCTTCCCCCACGCTGCCGCCCGTGCCGCTTCGTGGGCGCCCCGCGGGCGCCACGTCCACCCGGGTGGGCCTCCAGAGGGTTCGCCACGCTGCCGCCTCGTGGGCGACTCATGCGCTGGCTGGGCCCCCCCGAGGGTTCGCCACTGCCGCCCGTGCCGCCTCGTGGGCGCCCCGCGCGCCCAACGGGCTCCCCCCGCGGATTCGCCACGCAGCCGCCACGCTGCCGCCGCGCGGGCGCCGCGCAGGGCGCCCCCCCCCCCTTGCTTGGGGGCTGGTTTTTCCCGAGGGTCCGCCTCGTCGCCGCCCGTGGGCGCCTCGTGGGCACCTCGTGGGCGCCCCGTGCCGAGGATTCGCCGCGTTGCCGCCTCTTGGGCGCCTCGCGGGCGCCCCGTGCGTTGAGTTTACGCCATCTGCTGTGCACCTCACAGCTTCCACCTCCAGAGTGTCATGACTCGCTGTTTGGGGCCCACTGTATACACGTATATGGTTACATCTATGTGCAGAGCAAACATCGAGCAATACGCATTACTGACCGCAGCAATCCCTCATGATTCATGCCAGCCAGCGCGGAACCCCAGTGGTGAGTCATTGCATTATGGAGGTGGAAGCTATGCGGTGTAAGCTATGTGGTGCAAGCTACGTGGTGTAGGCTCAGCGCACGGGGCGCGCATGAGGCGCACGTGAAGCGCCAAGCGGCACGGGCGGCAATTTTGCGAGTTTTCAGGCAGCCCAACCAGCGCACGGGACACCCACGAGGCGGCACAGGCGGCAATGTGGCGAATCTTCGGGGAACCCACCCTGCAAGCCCACGAGGTGCGCAACGTGGCGAGAATCTGGAACACCCAACCAATTACTCAAGAAGACCACCCAAGAACCGTCAAGCGCAAGCACTGTTTGAGAAATTTCCTCCTCCTCCGCCTCCCTTCCTTCTTTATTCCTCCTCTCGGCGGCGAGCCACGGGGGGAAGTGAGAATGGGCGAGCATTTTCAGAATGCTCGGACGGCATCCGGCCTTCTGATAAGTGATCTAAGTGTTCTCAATTTCCCCCGGAGACGCAGAACACTTCTTAGAAGGCCAGGGGGCTTCTGAGAAGCCCCGCCGTCTCTCGACATGGCTTCCTCCTTCTGACCTCCCTCGCTCGCCGCCGATCTCCTGTCTCCCTTCATCCTCATCCATCCTCCTTCGAATCCTCTCCGCACACGCGGGCGGCGGCGTCGCCGCCACCACCGCCCTCACCATGCCAGCTCGTGCCTGGCCGCCATCGCCAAGGCCGCCACACTGCCGCCCGAGCCGCCGCCATCGCGAGACGCACCGACAGCGGCGGCGATGGCGCTGGCGGCGGCGGCATGAGGGAGGAGGAGGACAGAGCAGGGGGAGATGGATGAGGCCTCGAGGCGGGAGGCCGCCTTGGCTCAGCATGGTCGGGGTTCCAGGATCGAGGCTCGAGGATCGAGGAGGAGGGCGAAAAAGGGATGGGCAGATGGGGAGGTCGAGGATGAGGAGGGGAGGGCCGAGGAGGACAACGGTTGGAGCAGCCGGAGAGGGAGAGCGGGGAGCAGGGAGAGCGCGATAGAGGAGGAGCAAAGGGAAGGGGAGGAGAAAGGAGAGGGACAGAGGGAGGAGAGAGGAGATTGAGGAGGAGAGGGAGGAATAGGAGAGAGGGCGAGCGGGAGAGGAGGAGGAGATGGAGGAGGATGAGGAGGAGGAGGGGAGGGACAAAGGTGGGGGGCGGAGAACGGTCATTTGGAGGAGGAGGAGGAGGAGGAGGAGGAGGAGGAGGAGGAGAAGGAGCCCAGAGGAGGGGCCCAGAGGAGGAGGAGGAGGAGGCGCTTGGAGGAGGAAAGGGAAGGCGCGGGGGCAGCGGCGGCCGCAGCTGCCTGCCGCGGCGCGCGCGCCGCGCCGCGCCGTCCGGTGCTCGCAGCATCGCGCCGCGAAGGGGCGGCCGGCGAGCGCGACCCCCCTCGGCGGCTCCCCCGATCTCCGCTCGCGCTGCCTCGCCGTACAGGCGTCAGAGGCGCCGCGCCGGCCTGTCTCTTCACGACGCAGGCGGACCCCGAGGGAGACGCGTCCCGAGGTGTTTCGCCCTTTTCGGCTTTTGGGGTGCCCTCCGCGGGCCCCAGGGCTGTCCAAGAACGGCTCAGGATGCAGAGCCGGTCCCGGGGAAGGTCCCCGGGGTCCAGGGCCCGTTTCCCCCAGGACCCGTCTGCTTCATGCCAGCGTCCCAGAGGCGCCCGCCGTCGCCGACGACGATGGTATCTCTCCGATGTCGGACTTCAGGTGTTGTCCAATTTGGGCATCGTCTTGCTCCGCGAGTGGTCCTGAGGCCGGTTCTTAGAAGGCGCAGGCCTTCTCTGAAGATGTAGGGCCGGCGCCTTCTAACAAACCGCCTCCTTTTAAGAAGCCTTCCTTCCTCCCCCTATCCCCTGGTGCGCGCCGCCGTACTACGACGAGGACCCCCCCGTGCCCTGTCGCTCCTCGTCGTTCAGGGGCAACGTTGGGGGTGGACAGGCTCGGCGGGGGGGGAACGCATCGACCTCAAATCGACAATTGAGCGCGTCCCACCCAGCCCAGTACATGCGGATTCGCTATCGGGGGCCTATCCCCGATGCATCGGCGATGTACCGTCAATGCCACATCGATGCTTCCACCCCTGAGCCGTTCCCTCCTAACCTAACGTTCTCCCTCAGTCATCATCGCCGCTGCCGCCGCACGAAGGCGGCGATGACGACGACGACGTAGACGCGTTCGCCGTCGCTGCGACAGCAGCGTCGGCGAACCCGACGACAAGAAGTCCCCCCTCCTTTGTCGCCAGCTGCGCCTCGCCACTCAGGTCCTCGTCACGATAGTTGTTGTCGTCGTCGTCGTTGTCCCGAGGATGAAAATGTTCGCGTGCACTTCTCGCTTTTCGGGCCTCTGGGGGGTGGTTATCGTCCCACGACTGGGTTCCCCTCGAAGTTGTGGTCAAGATGCAGTCCGAGGTAGGTCAGAGGTCCAGAGGGGGTGGGGTTGTGAGGTCGTCCTGCCTCCTCGCGCTCCATCCTTCTCCTTCCTCCTCGTCCTCCTTTTCCCATGGGGACTGTTTTCGACCCACGCCTCCGCCGAGGCGGTGCATTGGGACGGTTTACGTTCAGGTGTTACGTAAACGTGGTCAGTCTCTTCATTGACAAGGTTACGCAGCCAGCCAGCAAAAGTAGCCAATCCTCGTCCTCAGTCCACGTCCTCCCCTCCTTCCTTCCTTCCCCCTTCCTCCTCGTCGTCGTCCTCATCGTCTTATCTCACCGCCCTCCCCGTGCACAGGGTGCGCTCTACTATTCAGTCACGGATGGTGCTCATTGTGTTGGGATCCGAGTTTTTCTTTTCCTCCTCCTCGTCGTCGTCCTCCTTCGCTTGCTTCCAGGTGCCTCTGCGAATCGAGCAAAGCCCGTCACCGCCTCAGACAGAGGCTTCATGCGTCACTCGTCCTGCAGCTTGCGCCGGGCGTTGATTCGGCCAGTCGCGTCCCGACTCGTCTCACAGTCATACAGGAACCTAAGGATTCGTTACTCGCTGAGGATACCCTTGCATCCTTGCCTCTTCGGCCCATCCATTGACCATGTTCGCTGGCACGCCTCCCACCAAGGCGTCAAGTTGGGTGTCCGAGGGCCGATGTCTGGGCACAAGATGCGCAGACACGGTCCGATGCATGGCTCGCATGCAGGAACGCCTCTGCTTGGGGAGTGGAGGGGCCGCCCCGCCACGCGAGGCTCCCTCTCTGCCGAAGAGGACCGCCCTGGACGGCAAGAGATGCCGCCTGTGTTTGGCCAGAAGACAGCCAAGAAAGTCATAGAAGAGGCCCCCGCCACCGTGAGGATTTGGAGATTGGGCGGTCGGGAAAGATGACGTGACAGGACGAGGAGGAGAGGAGGAGGAGGAGGAGGAGGAGGAGGAGGTTGACGACCAGTAAGAAGAATCCGACAGGAGGAGGAGGAGAGGAGGAGGAGGAGGAGGAGGAGGAGGAGGAGAGGAGGAGGAGGAGGAGGAGGAGGAGAGGGTTAAGCTCCAGAGGCCTGTGGTTCGAGCCAACAGGTTGTGACGAGGCCCAGCGGAAACACGTCCATCCAGAAGAGATCCTCCCCGATGGCCCCTCTGTTGCTGATGCTGTCCTAGGATATGTTTGACGCTTCGCTCGCGCCTGGGCTCCTGATAATCTAACAACGTGTTGGTGATGTCCCACCCGAACCGCCTCAGAGCGACCGAGGAGGGGAATACGCCGTGGCCCATAGTTACAATGCGGCGATCTGGCAAGCAGACGGCCAAGATGGTCAGCGAGGATGCCTCTGGTGCCATTTCCGCTCCAACGGGTGGGGGGTGCGCGTTTAGGGATTGGTTTTGTTGACCCCCCAAACTGCCAATGCCCTCCCTAGTCTTCAAGGGTCCATCAAATAACACCAGGTATCTGTGACATTCATGCTGGTTTGTGCTGTTCTCCATGGCATGCCCACCCAGAGCTGGCTGTGACAGGTGACGAAAGAAGAGGGGGGAATCGCGCATTGAAGGAGCGATACGCAGAGGGTATGAAGATTAGGAGATGAAGGACGGAAACCGAGAGGATATAAGGATGAGGAGTGCAATTGCGATAGGCGAGGCAGAGGACGGAGAGGAGAGAGAAGAGGAGGAGGAGGAGGAGGAGGAGGAGGAGGAGGAGGAGGAGGTGAAGGAGGAGGAGGAGGAGATAGAATGTGAGAATCCGTTGAGGAGGGTTTGCGGTCAAGGGGAGCGTGTGTTTAGGGGACCTCCCCGATCCGCGAGGTCGAAAGCAATTTGGCCTCGCTCACGAAGCTGGAGCTGATCAAGAACGCGTCGTTTTGCATGAAGTCTGCGGACGCACGGGCGGCGGGGCGCCTGCCAGCATTCGAGCAGGCGAGGCCATTGATTGAGGCGGATGGGTCAGCGGCGGGTCTCGCTCCCATGCAGAATCGGAACGCTCCGTCGCGCCACATAGGGCGACCGTTGATCTGGCGCGTGGGCGCCAGATCCACGGATCCCTAATCCGCGGGCTACAGCTTTCTAAGTAGGCCCTGAGCCCTTGCATTCTGAGAAGCCTTGGCGGCGCGCAGAGGGGGGCAGGGGGAGGGGGGAAGGCTTCTTAGACGCCCCATCTGCTTCTTGGAAGGCGTGGGCCTCATCTGTAGATGCACGGCCGGCGCCCTCTAAGAAGCAGCCTCCTTCTAGGAAGCATTCTCCCCTCCCCTCACCCCCTGGTGCGCGCCGCCAAGCGCCCCCCCCCCCCCCTGCCTGGCTCGAAGGCCACCCTCCCTCGCGCCACCCCCTCGTGGATGCGCCGCCAGACTGCGCCCACTCGCGGGGACCGCCTCGGGCTGTGCCGCAGGGCTGGACCTAAACGGTGTTTTGGCGATTTCGTAGGCCGTTTTCGTTTCGATTTCGTTTTGCGTTAAAGGCCGATTGAAGACAAAACGAGGGAAAACGAATACAAAACGAAAATGAAAAACACCGTTTAGGTTCAGCCCTGCTGTGCCGTGGGCAGGTGGCCCCGACTCGGTGGTCACGTGTGAATCCTAACCCCACCCCCGCGATTTCTAAGGGGCGGATGGGGGTTCATTTCGATCGGGACCTCCCGAGCGGAGTGAACCCCAACGCCCCCTTCGAAATAGCTGGGGGTGGGGGTAGGGTTCACACGTGGCCGCCCACCGATCCTCCTGACACTTTGCGCACGCGGGGCAGGTGCGGCAAGGGCGACCTTGGAGTTCGGTGCCCTCCCTTCTCCAGGGTGTTCGTTAACGGAGGGGGGCAATGAACGAAGGGTGCACTTCTTCTTGGGGCTCGCAGTCGGTGGCTCGAGATCAGCGAGCGTCGGGGCGAGTGATTTCCTCGAGTTTGTGGCCATCGCGGTTACAAAAGGCGCGATCGTCTTCATTACGTGATCCCATATTTGCGGAACGAGCAGATAGACGTTGCACCTTTCGTGCACGTGTCGGGCCCGCGGTGGCAGCTCAAGGGCACATTCAGCTCTCTTTGGGGCCGGTTTCCTGCAATGCTCGATTCCCCCCCCCTGTGTATTGCCCTCACGCTATCGAGCTCGCAACCATCTTCCTCCCCGCCGGAGCGTTCCTCTGCGCCCTCTCCCCGGCTGGCAGTGCATGGGATGCGCGCTGCAGCTGGGGTACGCTACGCTGGGCTCGCTGGTCGCGTCGTCGGTGAGACACCCGACGTGCGTGTGCGACTGCACGCCACCCACGCCCGACGAGGGCGTCATCGAGCTGCTGGGCCAGCAGCTCCAGCGGTGAGGGCCCGAGCGGCTCACCGCCTGCCTGGAGCCAGCGGCCTGCCCGGAGGCGCCTTAGTGCCCTGGGTTGCTTGGCCCCTCGCGGGCCGCCTTCGCAGGCGGCGAGCTGGTGGGGCACGTGCTGGCAGCCTTCATCGTGGTGATCCTCGGCGTGGACGGAGCCCGTCAGCGGGCTCGGGGCGCGGCGGCTCATCAGGCGACCTCAGGACACCTGTCGATCGAACCGCCGCCGACGTGCGAGGAGCCGCTCGCGACGCTCTCCTTGGAGGAAGAGGCCCGGGCGCAGCCCAAGCAGGTGCATGCTCGGCGAGATGGAGCATTCGTTTGCCGAGCACGTCAACCTGAGGGAAGAGGACTTCGCGCTGGTGGAGTACAACTGTCGGCTGCGGGACCTGCGGCCCGAACGTTGCGTCATCTACCTCCCCAAGGGAGGTGCCGAGCAGGTGGAGGCGGTGACGCCTGACGGTGACTGCTACCTGGAGACTTGGGCCCTGCCAGAGGTTGCCGCGTGGACCCGCCTGCCCAGCGAGGCCCAGGGCGGAGATCGGGGGGATCCGAGCCCTCGCTGCTACCGCTCCCGCCAGGTGCCGCTGGCCCAAGGGCTTGGGGCCCAGAGGGATGCCTTGGCGCACCGGTGCCGGCTTCCCCCGCCTGGACCGCCGCTGGTGCCGAACGTCGGGCTGGCGATCGCAGCCCTGGCGGCCCCGCCAGCCTTGCCTCCACCGGTCAAAGGGCCGCCGACGTCCCGTGGTGGGGCAGGAGCTCTGGCTGACGCCGCAGCTGGCGGGGGGGTCGACGCGGGTCGGCCACTTGGCAGGTGGGTGACCGCCGAGGGGCGGCGTGGCATCGCGCGGCTGACCCGAGGGGGCGCCCCATCTGCCGCCCGCGTGGTCGATGACCGCGCCCTGACCCAGCGCGCTGAGAAGCCGCTGGTGCTGATGCTGGTCACGGACAAGACGGCCCGAGGCCCCCTTGGCTTGGAGCCAGGCGCCGCGGCGGCGCGTGGGGCCCCCCGCGAGGAGGATGACGACGAGCTTCGCTCGCTGTCCGTGGTGTTGGATCGGATGAACGGAAGCCACCGCACCTGGGAGAACGTAGTGGAGGACCTCAGCGAGAAAGGCACCACCGACTGGGCGCTGATGGGACCGCGGACGGCGGTGTGGCCTTGCCGTCACCTCCACATCAGCGGCGGGAGCCTGACGGCCTTCTTCGCTCGGACGGTACGTGACATGAAGGTGGCCGAGGACGATCGAAGTGCCCTCGAGCTCGAGGCATGGCTCAGTGTGCTGGAGCTGGCTGGCACCTGGCACCGTCGGCCAACTGAACATCGGTGACCTGATGTGCACGGCGTTGGCGGGGGGCGGTCCCAGCCGGTCATGGACGCGAGCTCGGGCGGAGGCGCCGCCGTTGAGAAGGACTCCGAGGACCTCGTGGGGCTCGGGCGCAGGGCGCGAGGTGTTGCCCCGGCTCTTCAGAGCCACGTGGCCGCCAGGCTCAGGAACGAGGCAGAGGTCGACAAGCAGCGCATCAAGGCGCGAGAGGCCCGGAAGCTTCGCGGAAGAAAGCCTGGCGGCGACAAGGGGTAGCTTCTGAGGGAGTGGGGGGTTCGCCTGGCCAGGCGCGTCCCAACCTGGCGCATAGTGACGCCTCTTTCTTTTTAGTGTTCTCCGTTGTCAGTCGCGGGCCGGAGATGGAGCGCGACTGGGCTAAGCGCGGGTGTGCGAGCCTGGGCTCTTGCCTCCCAGGCGAGGTCTCCCCTCTTCAACCGCCAGGCGTCGAAGCCCCGCCTCGTCTACGGACGGAGGTCCCACTCGCGAGGTACAGGAGGTTGTATGCAAAGACGTGGACTTCCTCGTCTCGCACTACGCTGACGCCGCTTTTTCTGTGCCTTCTGAAGCAGCTCGCTCGCTTCTCCGGCAAAAGGCGGGCTGCGGCCCGTCTGGCAGCCCGGCGCGCCCGTTCGTGAAAGACCTCGCGTCGCTGCCAGCCGACGCAGCCGACTGCCCTTTGGTGGCCGAAGTGTTGGGCGAGCGAGAGCGTTCGATGCTCGAGCGGCTGCCGATCGACTTTCTCCGTGACGAGGAAGAGATGAGGTCTGAGCCTCCAGTGAAGCCCTACATGGATCCTCGGCTCCGAGGGGGTCGCTGCGCCTATGTAGATGTTGTGAGAGAGTTGCAAAAAAAAGCATGGTCACCTGGCGACGGCAGCGCCGGGCTGAGTGTGCCATGTTTTTTGTTGCTAAGAATGGCGGTCGACTCCGTCTGATAGTGGATGCGCGCGCAGCTAATCGAGAGCCCAGGCCCCCCCCCCCCCCCCCGAGCGGCATTGGCCACGGGCGAGAATTTCGCCAGCGTCGAGGGGGGGCCCAGAGATACCCTGTACATATCCAAAGGAGATGTCTACAACTGTTTTTATAGGCTCGGCATCGACGGCCTTCTGTGTGATTTGTCTGGTCTCCCTCCTATTGAAGCTGGGGCCCCGGGGATCGGACTGGTGGAAGGGGCCTCAGTGGCCCAAGACGAGTATGCAGATCCGTGCCTCAGGGCACTACCGACGGGATTTACGCGGAGCCTGTTCTTCGCGCAGAGGGCCGCGCAGAACATCGTGTAAAAGGTGCCGCGCCTATGCCCCGAGAATGCCCTCGAGAACCGCTCGTGCAACGCCGTTTTCGACACCGAGGGGATGAGTTTGGCTCACTACGTATACGCCGACAACGTCGGGGTCCTGCGTCTGCAGGCAAACGAGGTTCAGAGGGTCCGAGAGGCCGCGACCAGGGCTCTGGACGAAGTCGGGCTGATCACGCACGAGCTCACCTCATCTATTCATATCGACGAAGCTCTCGGAGTGGTTATCGACGGGGCAAAAGGGGTAATGCGTCTAAGCGAAAAACGGCGCAATCGTTTACGCGGAGCTCTCCAGTGGGTTCCGAGCAGGAAGAGATTGAGCGGCGCACAGTTGGACATGCTTGTGGGCCACCTCACTTTCGCCTTCCTGATGCGTCGTCCGCTGTTGTCAGTCTTTGGCGCCACCTATCGCTTCATCCGCTGTAACTATCAGTATGAACGAACCTTGTTGCCGAGCATGTTTGCTGAGCTGGAGGCCGCCTACCGCATGCTGCCATTGTGTGTGGCTGAACTCCGTTTGCCTTCGAGCCCTCAAGTATTCGCGTGCGATGCGTGCGCCAGTGGCATGGGGGTGGCACAGACGGAGTGGAAGGAGGCACAGGCGCAACAGGTGGGGAGGTTGGCGGAGCGGTTCAGATTCAGATACGCAGGTCTGGGGGCACATCGTGATCGGGCCCCGGGGCTGGCTATCTTGGACCCTCTCTCGGATCCTGTCACGGCAATCGGGGCCCCCACCTCAGGTTGCGATCTCTGGGAGGAGGATCCAGGTTTCCAGGACGTGCCGAGCGCGTGGATTCAGAAGTCTAAGTCTGGCCGGGAGCCTATCTATAGTGGACGCTTTCGAAGGCTGGGGCCGATCCATGTGAAGGAGCGTCGTGCTTCCCTGTGGTGCCGGAGACGTTTCAGCAAGGCCCGCTCGGGACGTGCGACACGGTTTCTTCTCCTGGGCGATAACCTCAGTACCATTTTGGCTCATTCGAAGGGTCGGGCAACCAGCTGGTAACTGCTCGCGCTGTGCCGGAGGCGATGCGCCCTCCAGCTGGGCCGCCGGCTCGTCGCGGTTGACCGCTGGATCCCTGCGGAGCTCAACTCCGCTGACGCAGCCAGCTGGGTCTTCTAGAGCCGAAAGTTGCCGAGGAACATGACGTCGGATGGCGGTTTTCCTCGCCCTGGTGAAGTCGCTGGAGAGCACGCTGCGGGCGGGCCGGGCGCCTGTGGCGAGGCCGAACGCGGCGCCCCCGGGCCGCCGCCTGGCCTCGACACCCCTGCCTGGCCCGCCGCCGAAGGAGCGGGAGCCCCTGGCGAAGACGGCGGGCCAGCCAGAGAGCTCAGGGCAGACGGCGGAGGCGCGGGAGGCACGCGCAGCCGTTTTGGGCCGCTGGCAGACGTGCTTCGCCACGGGCCTCGAGTCCGACGAGAACTCCCTGGCGAGGGGCGACGTGGCCGAGGGCACCTACAGGCGAGGCGCAGAGCACGTGAGGGGCCTCCAGGGCCACGTCGGGATCCAGAGGTGGAACGAGCTGAACGGCAAGGGCCTCAACGCCTTGGTGGTCGCCCGCTGGGGGGAGATGTTCCTGAAGGGGGCCGCCGCCCGACCAGTCCTGATCCGCCCGAGGGAGCTCAACATCCTCACCAAGATCAGGGACCCCGACGACTCCGCTCGGTGGGGCGTGTCCAAACTACAGTGGGTGACCCGCTACTTCGAGATGAGGCGAGCGGCAGAGGAGACAGAAGTGTGGACCTCCGACTGCAGCGACCTGGCCAGAGAGATCCCCCACGGCGCCGAGACCCTCGACATCGACGACCTGGCGCCCTACTCCATGAGACTCACAGGGGCGTCGAGGGACGCCGCGGTGGGTCGAGGGCCTTCCAACGAGGTGCAGAAGAGAGGGCGTCGGCGGTCTCACCACCGCGTCGCCCGATACGGGAAGGCCAACTAGGTATACAAGGGCTTCCTCAAGCTACGGTCGGACGTGCGACGAGAAATGCAGGGGTGCGCAGCAAGCTTGGAGCTGGTGTTCAGCAAGGCAGTGAGAGGCCCCTCGTGATGCTTGATCTGTTTGCTGGCGTGGCCCGCGTGTCCAAGGCTGTCTCGAAGCTCGGGCACGCCGCAGAGGTTTTGGATGTCAAAAACGGGCCAGCATTTGACATCTCATACAAGCATGTCCTGGATCACCTGCTCCGCACAAGTCGGCACCACCCCTTTGATGGCGTGATGCTGGCTCCACCGTGCACGGCTTTCAGCATCGCCCGTCACCCTGCCCTGCGTTCGGCTGACTGTCCTTGGGGGATTCCCGAGGCTGCAGGGCGCCCTCAGCTGACGCAGGCGAATTTGGTGACGAAAGCTACATTGCGGGTGATACGAATCTGCTGGGCTCGCAAGATCCCGTTTGCTGTCGAGAACCCGCAAACCAGCCTGTTCCGGAAGTTGCCGGAAATGGTCCACCTAACATCCCATAGGAATAGCCACCTGATGATTACCGATTTGTGCCAGTGGGGAGCCCCATGGAAGAAACCAACCGCCGCGTAGTTTGTTTTTTTTTCGAGGTTGTATTTGTAGGCGCTCCAAATCGCCCCATGTGGGGCTATCTGGGAAGGTCCCCGGCGGGCCTTGGCGTACACTGGTCACGCAAGCCTATTCCAAAGACTTCGTGGACTTCCTGGCTTCGACGTTTGACAACCAACTCCGAAATGATCGCCTACGCCGGTCAAATAATATGGGTTTGGGTGGAGCTGGCCAGCTTTGAGATGGGGTCTCTGTTTTTTATATGGGCCCATCGGCCCGCAGTACATCGCTGTCGAACAGAAGGATTCCCTGCCCCAGCCAGAAAACAGAGATCATGTTTGTGCGTGCGCGGTAATGATTGGTTTCCTGGCGTATCTGGCGCTGCCAACACTTTCGCGATCCATTGATCGTAAACGTGTACGCTCAAGCTCGTCCTGCACCCACCGTCCGTCCCCCGACAACCCCCAGCTTCTCCCTTCTCTCGCGCTTCGTTTGCTCAGATTTTTTTGTCTTTTCCAACTCACCCATAAACTTTAAGTGGGGCTGGCCAGCTTTGAGATGGGTTCTGTGTCTTTTATCTGGGCCCATCGGCCCGCAGTACATCGCCGTCGAACAGAAGGATTCCCTGCCCCAGCCAGAAAAATATATCATATATATATATATATATACATATATATATATGTGTATGTGTGTGTGTCTCTCCCTCTCTCTGAGTACGCCGGGGGGGGGTCCACAATCGGTGCCGTCATCCCCCATGGGGGGCCCCCGAACCCTTGGGGGGTCACAGACCCCCCGGGAGTGCCCCGGGCCGCTTCCAAATTGCCCACGACAGGTCACGCGGCCCGTACAGATGATCACGAAAGCCTGAAGAAGCCCTGAAGACACCCAAGACCGCCCCAGAGGCCCGTGAGGGCCCCAAGAGGCCTTCAAGAGGCAAACATCAGCCCATTTCCTTCGTAAAAGTTCCTTCGTAAAACGTGCATTTTCGGCATGCTCGCCTGCTTCGTCTTCGCAGTGCCCCAGACGCCCCCGAGGAGCCCCAACACAGCCCAAAAGAGACCCAAGAGGGCCCCAGACGGCCCCAAAGGGTCGGCCTGTGGGGCTCACAGAACCCCCCACCCAAGACGGCCCAAGAGGCCCCGAAACTGGCCCAGGAGGCCCCCAAGACGGCCTCAGGGAGGCCCAAGGGGGCCCCGTTCGAAATCATGTTCCCGGAAGCCTCTCCAGGAACATTACTTCCGGGCTCCCAGGGCCCCTTACTGAGCCGCAGGACAGCTTCAGCGAGGCCCCAAGAGGGCCTTCCAGAGGCAAACATCGGCCCATTTCCCTTGTAAAACGTGCATTTTCGGCATACTCGCTGGCTTCGTCTTCACAGTGCCCCAGACGCCCCGGGGAGTCCCAACACAGCCCAAGAGAGACCCAAGAGGACCCCAGACGGCCCCAAAGGGTCGGGCTGTGGGGCTCACGGAACCCCCGAAGACAGCCCAAGAGGCCCCAGGCCCAAGAGGGCCCCATTCGAAATCATGTTCTTGGAAGCCTCTCCGGGAACATGACTTCTGGGCTCCCAGGGCCACTGAGCCCCAGGACAGCCTCAGCAAGGCCCAGGATTGCCCAGGCTTGAAGGCCGACGAGGGCCCCAAGAGGGCCTTCAAGAGGCACAAACCGGCCCAATTCCCCGTAGTAAAACGTAAATTTTCAGCACGCTCCTTTGCTTCGTCTTCGCAGTGCCCCAGACGCCCCCGAGGAGCCCCAACACAGCCCAAAAGAGACCCAAGAGGGCCCCAGACGGCCCCAAAGGGTCGGCCTGTGGGGCTCACGGAACCCCCCAAGACGGCCCAAGAGGCCCCGAAGCCAGCCCAGGAGGCCCCCAAGACGGCCTCAGGGAGGCCCAAGAGGGCCTCTTTCGAAATCATGTTCCGAAGCCTCTCCGGGAACATGATTTTTGGGTTCCCAGGACGCCCAAGGACAGCCCCCAGAGGCCCCGGACACGCCGAAGATGGCCTCAGGACGGCCGACGACGCCGCCAAAACGCCCTAGGAACGCCTCCAGAGGCCCCTCCAAAGGGCCCCAGAAGCCGAAAATCATACATTTTCCATTGGTTTTTGAAGCATTCTTGCGCTCTCCCATGTTCCACCTCCCCACGGTCCCGGACCGCGTCAGAGGCCCGTCAGATCGCTCCAAGACGGCCGAAGAGGCTCCCAAGAAGGCTACAGAGACGGCGCAGGAGGCCCCCCAGATAAGTCAAGAGGACCTCGAGAGCGCCCCGAGAGAGCCCCAAGAGAGACCCAAGAGGGCCCGAAGAGCGCGACATTTCGAGGTCTCTGGCATGAGAGGCTCTCAGGACGCCCCTGGAGGCCATCAAGAGGCTCCCAAGAAGCTCCGTGAGGCTCCCAAGAGGCCGCCAGGAAGCCCCAATAGGCCCCCAAGGGACCCCCGGGGAAGCCCCCTGCGCGACCCCAAGACACTTCGGTGAATCGTATTTCCCATATAGCTTTCCGGGACATGATTCCTTGGGCTTCCGCCTTCCGCCCACCGCCCCAACCATGTTTCCAATAGGCTTGCCGACAAGGCCAAAAGGCGCCCCTCGGTAAGCCCCCAGAGGCCCCCCTCTGAGAGAGCCGAACAAATCATGCTCCCAGAAAGCTTCCCGGGAACATGATTGTCTATCTCGGAGTTGGCCCGGGGGGGGGGCGGGCCGCTGCTTGTTCCCCCCATTGGTGCCCACCAGGGGTTGCGGGGGGGGGTCCAGAGATCCCGAGGCGGCCCGAGCCCGGCCCGAAGGAGGCCACGACAGGCTAAGGGGGTCCCGAGAGGACCCAAGACGGTCCCACGAGGCCCCGAAGACGCCCAACATACCCTCAAGGCAGACGACGAGGACTCCAACACGCTCCAGGACGGACTCAAGAGGCTCCCCAAAAAGGCCCTGGCAGGCAAGATTCACTTCACTCGTTTTCCGAGTGTTTTGGATTCTGGCGTTCTCGCTTTTCCCGCTTTCCAGCGCTCCCTCACGGCCTCGGAGGACTTTCATATCGCTCCAAGAAGCCCACGAGGCCCCGACGAGGGCCCCAAGACGGTCCAGGATGCTCCCCAGACAACCCAAGTGTGCCCCAAGAGCGCGCCAAGAGAAGGCCCAGAAGGGTCCCGAGGCGGCCCAGGCCCGCCCCGAAGCAGGCCACGACAGGTTAATGGAGGTCCCGAGAGGGCCCTAGACTGTCCCAAGAGGCCCCGAAGACGCCCAAGCTGCCCTCAAGACGGCCGACGAGGATTCGAACACGCTCCAGGACGGACTCAAGAGGCTCCCCAAAAGGGCCCTGGAAGGCAAGATTCACTAATTGTCCGATGGTTTTTTAAGGATTTAGGCGTTCTCGCTTTCCCCGCTTCCCAGCGCTCCCTCACGGCCTCGCTCGGAGGCCCTTCAAACCGCTGCAAGACGGGCCAGGAGGCCCCGAAGAGGGCCCCAAGACGGCCCAGGAGGCTCCCCAGACAACCCAACTGTGCCCCAAGAGCTCCCCAAGAGAGGGCCCAGAGGGGGACCGCCAACCGATATTTCGAGGTCTCTGGCCCTCGAGGCCGCCTGTAGGCTCCCGGAGGCCACCAAGAGGCTCCCACGAAGCCCCGTGAGGCGCCCAAGAGGCCCCCAGGAAGCCCCAAGAGACCCCCAAGGGGCTCCCAGGGAACGCCCAAGACGCCCCCCAACACACCCCAAGAAATCATGTCCCCAGAAAACCTTCCAGGGACATGGTTCATAGAGGCCCGAGAGTTCCCGGAGGCCCCCAAGGGGCCCCCAGGGAACGCCCAAGAGACCCCCCAACACACCCCAACAAACCACGTCCCCAGAAAGCCTTCCCGGGAAATGGTTCATCATGGGCCCGCGAGTCTCCGGAGGCTTCGAAGTACCATCATGCTACAGGAGAGCTATCTGGGAAGTTGATTGGGAACATGACTGATCGCCTTCTCGCGGCCTATCCGCAGATCGTTTCGCACAAAGTTGCCCCAAGTGCCCTCTTGAATCGACGACGACGACGAAACGACGAAGACGACGACGACGACGACGACGACGACGACGACGACGACGACGACGACGGCACGCCCCAACAGGCTCCCCAAGACGCCCCAAACCCATACTCCCAGAAGGCCTTCTGGGAACCAGATTCACACGGCCTCCGCCCCCCTACACAACCATTCTCTTCGAAGGCCTTTCGGAATGCAGATTGGCATGCGTGGACTGTGGTCCACTACTTCAGTGGAGCAGAAGTGAATTCGTCAAGGCCTGGGGCCTGCTAGAACCTGAGCGCGCGCGAAGCGCGCGCGATGGTTCTAGTAGATATGTATATGCATATATATATATATATATATAGACGCCGCTGGTAGCGGTGGTATTGGCGAGGAGGTTTTGCTGGGTCTTGCGTGCTAATCCGCTTCGAGGGCTCGCCCCTGCACTCGCCGAGTGCACTTTCGTCGGCTTTATTGTGTCCTTAGTTTTTCTGTCTCGACTATGCTCGTATTGGCAGCAGTCGTTGTCAGCCAATCCAGTTGGGCCTGGGGCGGCTCTGGCTCGGGCAATCGCCAATTGTTCCGAGGTGTGTTTCTTCGATGGCATCTGTCTCAATCACCACATTCCGAGAGACATCGTTCTTTCGCGCGCTTTATCTTCGGACAGCGCGATGTCCCACTTTATCTTAGGGTCTTGCGGCTTTTGGTCGATCGTCTTGTCACGGATCATCAAGGACTCGGATTGGTTTCTCATTTTCCGTGCCTCCCCTCTCTGGCTTTTCACACTCATCTAGCATTTTCTCAGACAACACTTCATCACATGAGTTTTGTTGTGGCAGGTCCGCGCAGCGTTCTTCGTAGACTGGCGATCGTCTGTTTGACGCTATTGTGCTAGTCGCACCGTGTTGATGTTCAGTGGTCGTACGCTCCTCTTCTCCTCTGCTTCCAGAACATGTAGGTTCATATGTGTATATGTATATGTGAACATACATAGACCATAGATCTACACGTCTCTCTCTCTCTCTCTTTCTCTCTGCGGCCATGGTTGTCATGCACGTGAAAGCCCCGTACTGGCCGCTTGCCTTTCCACATGGGCACTCCGCGTTCTATACCATTATCGTGGCTTTCGCGTCGTCCAGGCGCCTATCCATTGTGTTAGCATCCACGTTGATATCATTCGACCTGGCGTGTTACACGTGCTATGGGATAGGAAATCAAGCCTTCGCAACCTGCTTGCCCAACATTGGATCCGGCCGACATCGGGGAGGGTTCAAGGTAGCTAGTTCGGCAGGGTTGCATGTTGTTTGTTTTTATCTCTCCCTGCCATGCGACCGACTTTCGGGAGGGAAGGAGAACACCGTGGCCCTTAGTGCAGCCCTCGCAAAGAACACGGTCTGACACTTGTCTCTCTGGTTTAATGTGTTTGGCTTTGCCAAGTTCGTACCAGGTTTGTCTTGGCAACATGTCTGTAGCACGGCTTGCAGTGCTGGTGCGATGAGCTCGCATATGTGCGAACATTTTTTTTTCTAACATATGACCTCAGGTTGGTACACCGAAGATTCTTCGTTTTGCCGTATTCCGCATGCTTCCTGGCAGCAATTGTGTGCGTAGCGTTTCTTTTGAAGATGGAAGGCAGGAGTTCAACGATGGTCGGGTTCGCGTATGCGCCAGGGTTGTCATGGTGTGGCTCTCCGTATACGCATTGAGGCTGCGTTATTCAGGACGTTCTTTCTGCTGCGCACGAATCGGAGAAGCCACGTCGAAATCTACGGCCGCCCTGATACAACAAAATCGTGCATTTTCTTACTTGGCGCGTTGCGCAGCGTCCGCACGCCGATACTGGGCTCTCTCGGAAGTTTTGGCAGCAGATGGGGCCAGAGGCAGTGAGAACGGCAGGATGGGGATGAGGAAAGTAAGCTGAAGACGCTCCTCAGACAAAAACAGTCGTTGTGCCATCGCTGTGTCCTGGTTGAGAGGGCCACCCACCCCACCCGCTCAGGCTGGGTGACAGGGTGGGGTAGGGTATGGTATTTTCCCGCCATGCCGACCTGCGGAGACCCCGCCGCTGGCGTTCGGGGCTCAAGCGACGGGGGTCAATGCAAACGGGGGTCAGTCAGAGCGCCGGATCTTGCAGGATCCTGCAAGGCCAGGGTTGTTGACCCAGATTTGGGTTCAGGATCCTGCAGGATTTGCAGGATCCTGCAAGGCCTGATTGACCTGTGTTTGGATTGACCCGGGTCAGGAGATCCCCGAGCCGTTCAATGTTGGACGCCGCCGCTGACCCAGAATCGGTCGATGTCGAACGATCTGACGTTTCGGACACACCGTTCAAGGTTGAACGATCCCCGCGTTGTCAGAAACCAACGCTGGGGTCGGCACGACACGAACCCACGGTAGCTCACACCACATAGATTACACGACATAGCATGAACCATACAGCCTACTCCACATAGCTTGCAACACGTGGATACTCCTTTCTAGAAAGAATAGGCTCGACCCCGCCGGGATTATCGGCTTCGTATTGCAATTTACATGTGATTCTGCCCCATCGTCCATCCTAAAAATGAACTCGTACCATCCCAGCTAAGCGGGTATCGCCACCCACTCCCGCCATATTGCAAAACATAGTATGCGCGCACATTCGTTTACCAAAAATCATAAGTTGTTTAAGAATCCCATGCAACAGATGAGACGAAGTGCACACGCGCGCGTCGTCGCGCGCGCATGCCGAAATCCTTCAAAAACTCTCGGTGTCTTAAGGTTTCCAAAATTGAGTGCCCAAGCAACATATAAAACAAACACAGGGTATTGCAACACGGACCGATGTCTTTAAATTTGCGCGCGCGTTTGCGAATTTTTGGGGAAACCCAACGATTTTCAACATGTTCATAACATGCTACCAACGTGCATGTCGAAATCGTTCGAACGCCGTTGCTGGGGTGATACGCTCCGCGTCTAATAATAGCATGCGGGCAACTCTCGCGCGTCTGCCGCGCGCGCATGTCGATTTCCTTCCGAAACCTTCATCACCGATGCGAAGACGCTGTCATCGTCGTCGGCGTTATCAGCATCGGCGCTGTCACTGGCTGCCCCGTCGTCGTCGTTGTCAACATCGTCACCAGCATCGCCACTATCATCATCGTGTCTACCAATGTCGACGTTGCTATGATACCGCGCCCGCCCAAATCGCCGACTCGCACTGACGTGCCCGTTGGGATGTGCCGAGCGTTCAGCGCCACCGCGTTCGCGTCGGTCGCGCCAAACTAGTTGGCCGCTGTGCGCGCGAGCATGCGTGGGTCAGTGCAGCCGCTGAGATACACCAACCAACACCAAGCACTCATCGCAATCGCTTCCGCATGGGTTTTGCAAACCAAGTTGCGGGTGGGTGGGTGGGCCGATTGCGCGAGCAGTAGGGTCGACAATTTCAAGTTCGGCAATGTGAATTGCACCACATAACTTCCAGCCCAAAAATCGAACCACATGGCTTACAGCACATATGTTGCTTGACGTAGATTGCACCGCGTAGCGCCACCACATACATAGATTGCTGCACTTGCTGCATGCAGCTGTTCTCGGCCCCTCCGCCCAGGGCGCTTTCTCCTCGGCACACGGGCGCTGGAACGCGCCAGGGAAGCCCGTCGCGCGAGTTGATTCGTTCCCCCCCCCCCCCCCCTCTGTAGGTACTCCCCCCCCTCGTCCGACCCGACGGGGGGCGGGGGCCACGCCCCCTCCCCTGGGAGGACGCTCAGTGGGGATGCGGCCTCGGTGGGGACAGCCTCGCTGGGGACCTCGGGAGGACCCCGCCCCTCCCCCCCCCCTGGGGAGGCGCCCCCCCTGGAGGGACGCGAGACCCGGGAGGGGAAAAACAGACACAGAAAAGTGTCGGTCCCCAGGAAGATGTGGAACATGTGTGACGTGGAGGGGAAGACCGACACCCAGGAAGTAGGGAACGATCGGGAAGCCTGGGATTTATGCCCACTCGTTCGTGTGTCCCTGGGCCTCTTCGAAGACTTCCAGGCGCTGCTTCGCCTCGTCGCGCCCACGCCTCCCCCCCACCCCCCACCCCCCGCCGCGCTCGCCGCCGCGTGCCCCCCTCTGCCTCGCCCCTCTGCTCGGCCCCCGCGCACGGTCGCCCTGGCGCCAGGTCCTCAAGACCGTGGTGCTGCGGGAGTGCGAGATCAACGATGCCGGCGTGGAGGCCTCGGGTTGGAGGGGAGGGGGAAGATCCACATTGGGGAGCCCAGTCCGCTTCCTGGTGGTGTTCCCCCCTGGTTGTTCAGAGGGTGCACGCACATGTGGGTTGGTGGTGGGACACTTGAGATAACAGAAAGGCGGAAAAAAAACACGAGGCTGGCAAAAAGTGGAGCACCTTCGCATCGTTGTTTAGTTATTCCTTCACTTCATTCAGCTACTCTTCGAGATGAGGAGGGGGAGTTCGGACGGGGTCAGGACGAGGATCAATCCGTTTCAGAGCGTTCTGGAACGCTCTCAGAGCGTTCTGGAACGCTCTGAGAAGGTCGCGATGCCCGATACATCCTCCAGAGCCGCTGGACCTCAGAGATTCTCGACTTTTTCCCAACCGATGTTTATCCTCGTTCTGGTTGAGTCTTAGGAGTCGCCATGACGCGAACGGGTCCTGAGGGAAACGGGTCCCGAAGTACTCGGCCGTGTCCGGGATCCAGAGGCCTTTCCCGGGCCCTTGGTTGGTGTCAGGGGTGTCAGGGGCAACGTCAGGGGGGGGGAGGGGGAGGGTCTGGGGCAACGTCAGGGAGGGTTAGGCTCAGGGGGGGATGCATTGACCCCCAATCGCCCGCTCGTCGCCGTTGGGATGTGGGCTCATGAAGAAATGCATTGACCCCCAATCGCCCACTCATCGCCGATGGGGGTCCGATGGATCTCCTCCCCGCCCAGGAGCGCACGGTTTCGCTATCGGGGGCCTATCGCCGATCTATCAACAATGTATCGCAGATTCCGTGCCGATGGTCCCCCGCCTCTCCCCTGAGCCAATCCACCCCGTCATTTCCAGCGCGCCTAGTGAGGACGCGCGCATTCGTCTAGGGTACTCTGGTGTCCTTACCTCTGCGGCCCGTCCTTGGCCGTTCTCACTGGTCGCCCGCCGCCTCAAAAATCCCAGCTTAGGCCTCCAATGGCCTTGCGTCCTTACCGCCCGTCCTTAATACACGTTTTGATTGTATCGCTGTTTCCCAGGGAGGGAAAGGGGCATGAGGAGAGGGCCGAGCGAGCTACGGAAGCGGAGGGGAGGTGAGGGAGAGGAGAAGGTTTAGAGGGAATGAGGAAGGGGATGGGGGGAAAAGGGAGGGGGGCAGGGAGGAGGAAGAGGAGGAGGAGGAGGAGGAGGAGGAGGAGGAGGAGGAGGAGGTGGAGGTGGAGGAGGAGGAGGAGGCGGAGGAGTGGAGGAGGAGGAGGAGAAGGAGGTGGAGAGGGATCGAGAGGGATCTTTGTCTCAGCGCATTGTACCATGTAGAACCTTGAGCCCGACGGACAACGGTCTCGATCTCACAGCCTCAGGACTGGATCTGCGACAGTTAATGAAACTGCGAAGCCTTTGATTGACTCGGTCGACGACAGGATTTGGAATTCTTAAGCACGGACAGAAGCAGTTCGTACACGTCTCGACGACCACGATGCTCGTCTGTGACGACTGGCATCTTCGGAGGGTTCGGAATTTCACGAATTCATCGTCAGGTTGGTAGAGGTCAAACGATTATCAGAGCGGAAGGTCCGCAAGGCAAAGGCGATGACCAGGATCGAAGCGAAGGGTCTGATCGAGAATCGCGACGTTGTCTCACTTCTATTCGATTGTTTCCGCAGTCCCTGAAAACGCGACATGACCCCAGGGCATACGGCAGACTAAGGCGGGGAGGACGAGCATGGAGAGGTAGGTAGCAGGAGCAAAAAGAGTATCAGGGGGAGGGGGAATGCAACAAGGAGGGGGAGGGAGAGTGCGAGAAGGAGTAAGGGGGAGGAGGAGGAGAAGGAGGAGGAGGTCCTGTGTCAACCCAAAACGTATCAACGATCTTGTAATACATCCTCCTTCTAGGTTCCTCTTCAACGATCCCTACAATAACTTTCCCAAAACAGTGCCTGCACGTAGGTGTTTGGGCCTGGTTGCCAGTTCCGCCACCTTGCAGCCGCCCGTCGCTGTCGGCCGTCGCCGCACCATTTTGGTCACGACTTTTTTTTGCGCGAGGCTCGCAACTTGGACTGTGCGCCGGTCCAGCTGGTCTGTGGTTTCCCGTCGCCGCCGTCCGTCGCCGCACCATTTTGGTCACGTACTTTACACCACATACGGAAGGTTCCCGTCGTGTCGACCAGCGGCGACCCCGCCGCTGGCGTTCAACGTTGAACGCCGCCAGCGACCCAGAATCGGTCATGTCGGACGATCTGACGTTTCGTAAACGGCCGCTCGTTCAGGATTGAACGATCCCTGCTCTGTTAGGCATCAATGCCAGGGTCAGCTCGACACGAACCCGCGGTAGCTTCCACCACATAGATTGCACAGCATAGCCTGCACCACATAGTTTGCGCTACATAGCTTGCAACAAGTAGACTGCGCCACATAGCCTCCACCAAGTAGCTTGCACCACATGGCTTGCAGCACATATAATGCTTGACATAGGTTTCACCACATAGTGCACACCACATCTATTGCACCACATCGATTGCACCATATAGAGTCTTCTTTCAAACATATTCTGATCTAGTGCCCCCCCAGCATTCTCGACCCTCCCTGGGATAGTACGACTTCATTCGATTAGAGATGCCCATCGTTCACTCTTAATCTGAATCCATACCATCCCAGGCAGGCCGTTATATCGACCCCACCCCTCATCCGTGTGAGCAAGTACGTTGCGCGCCCATCTGTTCATCAAGAACAGTTTTGTTCAAGAAACCCTTGCAGAAAGTTGGACAGAATCCACACGTGCGCGTCTTCAAAAGCCTTCTACGCTCCGTAAGGACAAGATCACGGTAACTGAAAACATACAAGAACCAGTTGTTTTGCTACATGAAAAATTGCGTGCGCGCTCTTGCGGATTCTTATGAAACTATTGGTTTTTCAATTTTACACAGACGTTGGGACCAAGCGGGCCTTTCGCGCTCGCATGCCGGAATCGTTCAAACGCTTTTGCAAGCTTGCTGAGGGGCACGATCCCTGTCACATGACCACAATGCGGGCCAACCGCTCGCGTCGGCCGCGCGCGCATGCATGTCGAAATTCCCCCAAAACTTCCATAACCGACACATGGACAAAATTATCGTCATTGGCGTGAGCAGCATCGGCGCCAGCATTGGCCTTCCTTGCCGTCGTCATCGCCACCATCGTCACCATCATCGCTACCATCATCATCGTTTCCGCCGTCGTCGATGTCCCGCGCCCGCCCGAGTCACCGACTCGCACGGAACTGCCCGCGCGCCAGCGCGCCCCTCGAGACGCGTTAGGGAGTCACCAGAGGTCAGCGCCACCGCTGCCGCATCGCTCGCGCCAAATTGGTTGGTCGCTTTGTGTGCGAGCTTGCGCTCGCAACCGCGGCCGCAGCGATGCGCCAGCAAGCACCGAGCACCCGCAGCAATTGCCGACGCATGGCTTTTGCAAGCCAAGGTGCGGGTGGGTGGGTGGGATGATTGCGCGAGCAGTGGAATCGACATTTCCAAGTTCTTCAGAATCAATTCCACCGCGTAAATTGCACCACGTATATGGCATTGCACGGGCTGCACCAATATAGATCGCACCACAAACTTTACACTGCACATATTGAACACTTTAGCTTGCACCATACAGCTTCCACACGTAGATCGAACCTCACGGATTGTACTGCATAGACCACATTGCGTTGCTCGCACACCCTCGGTTCTCTTCCATTAAGACAGATAGGGCCCCCACGGGAATTAATAGTTCCCCTTGCAGAGTTCATTTGTTTCTGGCCCGCCGTCCATCCTAAATATGAAGCCACACCACGCTTGCCATGCAACGATCGCCCCCCTCATCCTCTGCAGCCAAATACTATGCGCGTACTCGTTTATCAAGCGTCATCAGCGTTCAGGAATCCCTTGCGACAAACGGGACGAAGTACGCACGCGCGCGTCATTGCGTGCGCATGCAAATAATTCTAGGCATCGTGCGGGTTTCAAAATCGAGAGTCCCGAAACATACAGTGGAGACCCATGCCAAGAAACATTTTGCTTGCCTCCAGGGTGTCCTGGGAGTCCTGGGTCTCGATGTTTTTGCGGTGGAAGTCGCGACGTTCCCACACCCAAAATCCATGGATGCCCTGGGGTCTCAGGGTTGGGTTTCTTGTGGAAGGTTTCTTGTGGTCGGGCCCCCCCCCAAAAAAAAACGTCGTAACGCGGGGTTTCGGATACACAGAAAAACTCGTTCCCGGGCTCTTGCGAATTCTTCCGGAAACCATCGGTGTTCCAACATTTTCATACATGCTGCCGCATGTGCCTTTCGCGCGCGCATGTCGAAATCGCTCGCGTGCGCGCGTGTTTTTGCAAGAACCCTTTGCATCATTTGGGACGACCTGCACACGCGCGCGTCGCCGCGCGCGCATGCCGAAATCTTTGAACAACCTTGGGTTTCGTGTGGGTTTCAAAGCCGACTGCCTCGCCAACAATTAGAAACGTGGTTTTGCAACATGAGTTTTCAAATTTGCCTGGGCTCGCGCTCCTGCGAAGTCCTAAGCCACCTCTAGGTTTTCAAATTTGTCATAAAATTCTGCCAAAGTGGCCTCTCGCGCTGCACGCCGAAATCATTCGAACGCCCTTGCGCGCGAGCTGGGGGATGGGCGCGACCCGTGCCAAGTAATACCATGTGGGCCATTCTCGCGCGTCGGCCGCGCGCGCATGTCGAACTCATTTCCACGCGATAGCGCTGTTATCGTCGCTGGCGTGATCAACATCGGCGCCGTCACTGACCGTGCCGTCGTCGTTGTCACCATCGTCGCCAACATCGCTACCATCATCATCGCGTCAACCGTCGTCGACGTCGCCATGATACCGCGCCCGCCCCAGTCACAGGCCTACTCGCATTGAAATGCCCGTCGGGGAATGCCGAGCGGTCAGCGCCACTGTTGCCGCGCCGGTCGCGCCAAACTACTTGGCCGCTGCGCTTGCGAGCATGCGCGGGGCAGCGCAGCCGCAGAAATGCACCAGGCAACTCCAAGCTTTCATCGCAATCGCGGCCGCATGGGTGTTGCAAGCCAAATTGCGGGCGGGTGGGTGGGTCGATTGCGCGAGCAGCAGAGTGGACAATTCATTGCGAACAGAAGGTAACTTTGCCACACGGATGGTACCGCGTAGCTTACACCAAATATCACACACCATACTGATGAGTACGTTCGCTCCTACCACATAAGCTGCACCACCCACCTTGCGCCACATAGCCCGCCCTAGATTGCACCACTTGGCTCGCACCACGCCACTCGCACCACATGTTTTTCTTGTTTCGAAAAATTGCGGTATTCGGACCTTCCCTCATCCCCATCCCTGGATTAAACCGCCCTTTTTCCGTATTGCTATTTGCATGCTGTTCCGCCCCATAGTCCATCTCAAATAGGAGTACGTTCCATCCCAGCCAGGCTTGCATCGACACCACTCTTCATCCTCAACCGAAAATGTCGTGCACGCGCAATCATTTATCATAAGGCACCTGTCACCAGTTCCCAAAAATCCCTTGCACAATCGGGGACGACAGACACACGCGCGCGTCGTCGCGCGCGCACATCCCCAAATCTGCCAAAAGCCTTGGGATTCGTACGGGTTTCAATATCGAGTGTCGCTGACATTTTTGCAATATGAAATGGTTTCGCAACACGGATTTTCAACCAAAGTTGACGATTGCGTTTTTGCAGACCTTTCAATTTTTTCGGAATGTTCATCACATGCTACCAAAACGGGCCTCTCGCGCGCGCATGTCGAAATCGTTCGATCGCCCTTGCGCGAGTGCTGTCGCAAGAATCTTGTGCAACCGATGGGACGAAGTGCGTGCCTTCGCGCGTCGTCGCGTGCGCATGCCGAAACGTTTGAAAAATCAAAGGTTCCGTAAGGAGTTCAAAATCGGGTGTCCCTCAACATATAAATAAATCGCGGTTTTGTAAAGTCAGTGTCCAACACTGCCTGCGGTCGCGTTCCTGCGAAATCTGAATAAAACCACAGGTTGTTTCAACATTGTCATCAATTTCTGCTAAGCTGGCGCCTTTCACGCCGCATGTCGAACTCATGCCAACATCATTGCCCGTGTGCTGGGGGGGGCACGATCCGTGTAGAAACACCACGGCGGCCACTCGCGCGCGTCGGCCGCGCGCACGTCGAATTTTTTTGTTAGCCTTCGTCACCGGCGCGAGGACATCGTCATCGTTATCGTTGGGCGTGATCAACACCGGCGCCGTCATTGGCTTCTCCCGTCGTCATCACAACCATCGTCACCATCATCGCTATTCGCATCATAGCGTATACCGTTGTCGGCGTCGCCATGATACCGTGCCCGCCCAAGTCACCGACTCGCACTGGAGTGTCCGTTAGGAAGTGCCCAACGGTCAGCGCCACCGCGGCCGCGTCGGTCGCGCCGCATTCGATGGCCGTTGTGCGCGCGAGCGTTGGCGGGTTAGTGCGGCCACACAAATGCACCAACCAACGCCGAGCACTCATCGCAATCGCCGTCGCATGGGTTTTGCAAACCAAATTGCGGGTGGATGGGTGGGATAATTGCGCGAGCAGTGGAATTAACAACTCACTGCGGGCATTGGTGAATTTCACCACGTAGCTTTCACCAGACAGCTTGCACGACGTAGCTGGCACCACATAGATTGTACCACCTTGTATGCTAGAACACACGTTTGTGGGTAAGCGCTGACTAATATTGACTTGCGGGATGTGCCCCATGGGAAAACCACAGTGTGATAATCTTTCGTCGGGCCCACGCACCATGCTCGCGATGACAAGTCCGCGAACCAATCAGAGTGTCACATGTTGAACAGGAGTTGTTTTCGAAACTGATATGAATTGTTACAGCGAATGAGCGCGGCGCTTGGGCGAAAGTCGCACTGTGAAGCGGAGGCGGCTTCCATCATTGGGACGGCTGCGTTTGTTTAGGTCGAACGTGCGCGGCGCTCAGGCGAGAGCCAGATTTTCCCCCATCGATGCAGGGAAATTAAGACCGACGGTCGCGGCGCTGTGGTGCAACAGTTTTGGAAGACGCGAGAGTCAAATACTGAAAACCAGCCGCCTTCCATTTTCGAAGCTGCTGCCAGTTCTAAGTTCCAGGTTCGTAAATAGTGAGAAGGTCCCAGGCGAAACGCTCCGCCCGCCCTACCAACACGTTTGCGGATGCGATGCGGAACAGTTGCCGTAGCACCCCGCATATGTGGATAAGAGTGAGAAGCCCGCCGCAGGCGCCACAGTTTCATAAATTATAGAACGAGCCCGCCGCAGGCGCTGATTTTTTCGTTAAACCAATGTGGGTAGGTCGCGGGTGGGTCGCAAATGGGTCGCGGGTGGGTCGCGGGTGGGTCGCGGTTGGGTCGCGGGGTGGGTCGCGGGTGTGTAGAGGGTAGAAAATCCATCCATAATAATCAGCCCGACTAGCGAAGTCGTTTAGTAAGCGCACGCAAGGAATGAATCGAACAGGGCAGGGTTGTTTAGTAAACTCACATGGCCGTTTAGTAAACGTAAATTGTCGGGTCCGGGTGTTTTCTTCTCTTTTGAGGGTGGGTCGCGGGATGGATCGCGGGTGGGTCGCGGGGTGGGTCGCGGGTGGGTCGCGGATGGGTCGCGGATGGGTCGCGGGTTGGGTCGCGGGGTGGGTCGCCGGTGGGTCGCGGGTAGGACGACGACAACAGACAATAGCATCCACAACAATGCAACAAGCAGCATTTTCACCACAAATTCCCCATTCAGCCACGCGCCCAGGGACAATGAATGACCGCTCGGCCCCCTCAGTCTGACCTACGTGGGAAAGGGATGGAGGAGGAGGAGGAGGAGGAGGAGGAGGAGGAGGGAGGAGGAGGAGCAGCAGCAGCAGGCACAGGGGGCCATTGAATTTGCGAATACCGCTTAAACCGTCAAAGTAATGGTGGGAATCCTTTTGTTCCTCTCTCAGGATTGACCCCCCGCCCTCTTCTGGAGTGCGTGCTGACCAGGGCTTTGAATTGAATCCACGAGGGCCCCACAGGAATCCCAGGAAATGCGAAAACCTTTAGAGCCCCCGTGTGCCACCTCCTCCTCCTCCTTCCTGCCCTCTCCCTCCGCTGCGGAGAGTACGCAAACCTTCTTGGATCCACTAGGTTCCGACACCCGTAGATTTAGCACCAATCAAGACACCCGCAGTGGTACCGGCTGCTGCTGTACTCCGCAGCCAGTTGGGTGTTTTCCACCCCTGAAGGGTTGCAGTTTTGCTTCCACCTCCTCCTCCTCCTCCTCCTCGTCCTCCTCCTCCAGGTGCCGCTGTGCACTGCTCGTTCCTGGGATGATACCGTTAGGCCTCTCAGCCCCACTTTGACGAACGTGGGGGGTGCAGGAACCTTGTGCGCACCAGGGGTCGCTTGAGCGCCCGTGCCTGAGCTGTTGCATTGACGACATGAGCGACGCCCAAAAAATGGGTTCGATTGCGTCGACATTCGCGCGTAAGTTGCTTGCGTAAAGCCTCGCCTAAGTGCCCTCGTCTCCTCTATGGCGTGCCGCGCTGGCCGCCCGCATAAGCCGCTGCGTAAGGTCGCTGTGCCATTTCGCGTGAGGTCCCGTTCTTATCGTCGCTCACATGCTGACTCACACCACTACCCTCACATCCTCTCACGGATGGAAAACCTGTCCGTATCCACGGCCTTGCGGGCCAGGCGTTTGGGCCGCGATCCTGAGGATACGGAGCGTTTTTGTTTCCACGTATGCCCTGCGCGGAACTTCTGCATGCGACCGCGTGTACACTGGATCGCGGCAGAGTGCCCAGACAGCGAGGACATTGATGTGGATACGTTCGCCGTTCGTCGTCATCTCCTCGCCGATCTCGGCGGCGAGCGAGGGGGGAAGTGAGAAGGAGGGGGGCGTCTCAGTAGGCGGCGGGGTTTGTCAGAAGCCCTCTGGTAGTCTGCAAAGTTGTCTATGTCTTCCGCGACGCCTTATAAGTTAAGGCTTAGAACATCTCTCAGAATGCCGGGGGACTTCCGAGCCTTCTGAGAAGGCCCGCCATTCCTCATTTCCCCCCCCCCCCGGGGGGGGGGGCGGCGGCTGCAGCGAGAGCCGCGCGAGGCGATAGCCGCCGCCCTCGAGCAGAACGAATCCGTAGAGGAGCGCCTCCCCTCCCCTCTCCTCCTTTTCCTCCTCCCCTCTCCTCATCCTCCATCCCCCATCCTCCTGCATCCCACTCCTCCTCCTCCTCGTCCTCTCCCATCTCCTTCCTCCTCCTCCTCCTCCTCCTCTTCCTCCTCCTCTTCCTCCCTCCTCCTCCTCCTCCTTCTTCTCCTTCTCCTCCTCTTCCATCCCCCTCGATCCTCCTACTATTCCTCATCCTCATCCTCCATCTCCTTTGATCCTCCTCCTCCTCCTCCTCCTCCATTCTGGGTAGCCGAAATGAGTACGGAACACATGTGTAACCTTAGGAGGTCTTTAGTTTAGGTGAATCCCCTCCCTTATTTCTCCTGGCGGGGAATCAACTCCGCTCCTTTACCTCCTCCTTTCCCTCACTTCCTCCTCCTCCTCTTCTTTCCCCCTCATCCTCTTCCTCCTCCTCCTGCTCCTCTTGCTCATCGGAGTCGTAGCCGTGGCCGTAGTCGTAATCGTAGTCGTAGTCGTCGTCGTTGTTACGCGGCGGCTGCCGGCGGGTGCGCGCGGTGGGACCCCTGTCCGTCAATAAGGGCATCGAGTGATAATTCGTTTCCATTATTTGGGGGAGGGCTCTCAAGACCTATCTCGGTTACAACGACCGGCAGCATGTCTTTCTCATTATGAGGACTCGTTGTCGGTGTCGCCACAGGCGTTGTCCATTCGAGACAGAGGGCCGCTTGCCCAACAGCGACCGCTGTCGGGTTGGGACAACATGTATTGTTGGGCATCGCATGTGTTCCGTCCGCACCCATGTTTGGCTTCCAAATCCATCCTCCTTGATTCTCCTCTTCCTCCTCATGCATCCCCGTCCTTTCTTTACAGTGGGGGCCCGTGCCAAGAAACATCCTGTTTGCCACCAGGGTGCCGTGGGTGTCTTGGGTTTCGATGGTTTTGCGATGGAACGCGTGACGCTCCCACGCCAAACGTCAGATTCCCTCTTCCTTAGGGCCCCTCTTCCTCCTCGAGGTTACACTATGTGAGGCCAATGTTCCTTTGGGCTCCCATCCCTCAGGGATCCTCAGGGCCATATAGTTGAACCGCCGACTGGTGTCTGTCCCATCCTACTCATCTATCATCCATCTTCCTCATACGTACATACCCCTCCCTCCTCTATCATCAAAGCTCGATGCTGGCCTGGTGGGCGCGTGCTTCCCCCCCCGCGCGTTCCACTGGATTAGCGCTCTGGACTGCTATGGTAGAGGAGGTCATGTGTAGAATGCCGTCCCTCCCCCTCCCGCACACGAGGAGGATGAGAAGGGAGCACGGTGGAGGATGCGAGAATGGCAAGGTGGAGACATCATGGCCGTGGCCAGGGCCATGAATGGTGGAGGGAGGATATGGTGGAGGAGGAGGAGGGGGACGTGGATATCATGGACAGGGCCACGATAGCTTTCCAGATGTCGTGACCCCGCTCCTCGGTCCGATGCGTCCACATGTCCCTCCCCTGGGCCTCACACGTGCCTCGGCCAGGGATGAAACACACCACGGTGTTGGTTTGATTGATGGTTGGGTGGCATGGCTCTGCCCTCGGCGTGGGGTGATCGTGGGGAAGAGGCATCGACAGCGTGACGTGTTGGGGCATCGCGACCTCCTCCTCCGCGAGGCCTCGCGCGCAGCTCAAAGAGGCCCTTTCTCCACGCGGCGCCCAGGGTCCACCAGAATGCACCCTCGTTCACCCATCCCTCCCCTCTCCCTTCCTCCCTCTTGTTGGTGTTCGGGGCATGCATCGATGAATCGAGCCTCTGGCGACTGTTCGGGACGGTGCGGGGCGGGAGCAGTGGGAGAACACGGGGAGGCCCAAGATGGCTTCACCTGCCTTTCATCACAGCGCCATGGACTGCGCAAGAGCCTAAGCGTGCGCGGAGTGCGCGCGTGGTTCCAGTCACACACTACGCTCAGAATATCACTCGTCGCGAGCGCCTCTTGGTGCCGCTTGGGCCTGTCAGAGGTGGCCTCCTGTGGCTTCGGGGCGTCGTCCATCTTTGACACCACCCCACCTACGGCCTTCCATGTTGCGCTACGGCCCATCGGGGGCCGTAGCGTAGACCACGCAAAGCCCAAGCCAGAATTCATGGAACACGCTAAGGCCCGTGGGGCCGTAGGTGGGATGGCGTCGTCTGTTTCCTGGCCCATTCTCATTCTAGTCAGCATGATGTGCTTTCCCTCCCTCTTCCGCACGCGCCCCGCTGCAGAGAGGAGCTCGACCTGCAGCAGAACAACATCACCACCAACGGGGCCGGGCAGGGGGCGGCGGCTCGAGCGTTGGAGATCTCCCGCGGAAGGGCGAGAGGCCACGGTACGGCAGGGCGCACGGACAGATGAAGGAGGCAGGAGGTTGGGCCTCGCGCAAGGTGGGGGGCGATGAATGGGGGGGAGGGGCAGCGAGGGCTGCCGCCTTCAGGGCCTCCAGCGGGGCCCTTTTGGGCCCAAGCGTGAGCCTTCAGGGCCCGAGAAGTGCACCTTGCTTCCCCCCTCGTCGATCGCCCCCCACGAAGCGACGCCCGCATCACAGCAGGGTGGACGGAACGATGGAGCAGGCAGGAGAGGGAGGCGGAGCAACGCCAGCACTTCGCGCGCGAGTCTTCAGTCGTCGGCGGGGCGCGCCAATGGGGGCAGGCGAGAGGGGGCAGGCCTTATCAGAGGGCGGTGGGGCTTCTCAGAAGCAAGCCCTCTTCGGCTTGGGAGATGTCTTGGAACGTTTCTCAGAAGGCTGGGGACCTTCTGAGCCTTGTGAGAAGGCCCGCCCCTCCCCGATTACGTCCCCAGGGGCCCGCCGCCCAGCTCGGATTTCGCACGAGAGATTTCAATAGAATGTGAGGCAGAGGAGGCAGGGTGAATCAGCGGAGTGCCAGCAGGAGTTTGGCCACACGGTTGTTTCATGCAAGGGGGAGGTCTGAGGCGAGATTGTGAAGATGGGCAGGTTGTGCCAAGAGTTCTTGTCACAGGGAAATTACTTGGCCAACATGGAGCGATCTGGCGATCGAAAATCCGCCGATCGTTCAAGGTTGAAGGATCCACAAGGTGTCAGCAACCAACGCCGGGGTCTTCACGACACGAGCCTGCCCCATACCGCAACATCCCCCCGACAGTGCTCCTGTTTCCTGTGATCGGAGGACGCGTAATGGGGGAGGCGACGAGGGCCGCAGAAAGGGGCCCCTGAAGGGGCCCTTCATTTAGGGCCTAAGAGGGGGCCTGGAGGGCCCGAAAAAGTTGTTCCCCCCACCTTTTGCCCCCAATTCCTCCGCGCTCAAGTGGTGAGTCAGTGGGGATGCGGGGTGTGTGGGCCTCCCAGATGGCTTCAGAGTACGGTCGGACCGAGGTATGAGATTGAGCTCGGTTCGGGGAGGGTGCCCTAGTGTTCTTCGTGTTTGTTGGATGTTCTTCCAGAGCGGGTGAAACAAAAGCGGACGCAACAAAAGGCGGGCGAAACAAACGTGGACGAAACAAGCGGGCGAAACAGAAGCGCATGAACCCAGAGCGGGCGAATCAAAATTCCGCCCCCCCATCTATCGCCTTCCCATCAATTCGCGCCCAATCTGACCGCCCAGGGCCTCCCAGTGCATGCCGCGGCCTTGCGGGCGGCATCCGCCCAGCTGCGCGCGGCCGCCCCGGCGCGGCGGGAGGTCATTGCCCTGTCCAAGGGCCTCGCGAAGAACCGAGGAGGGGCGCGTCGGCCGCAAATCACTGGAGCCTTCGAGTAGGGGATCGACTACAGAGTTGAGATTGCCGCGTCAGATCTAAGGCAACACGTAGAATACTCCGTAGGTCTACGGAGCTTTCTACGCATTTGTTGCAAATTCGACGGGACCATCGCGTTTGGGGTAAATCGCAAATCACGGGAGCCTAGCATAGCTTCGGGGCTCAAGAGACGGGGGTCAATGCAAACAGGGGTCAGTCAGAACGCAAGATTTTGCAGGATCCTGCAGGGCCAGGGGTGCATTGACCCGGGCGTGGGTGCAGGGTTCCGGCTGAATCCTGCAGGATCTGCAGGATCATGCAAGGCCCGACTGACCCAGGTTTGGATTGACCCGGGTCAGGAGATCCCCGACCGAAATTCCGTCTTTACGGTGTATCCGTGTCGGGTAGCGTCTGGTAATCGATGAGATGGCGCCGATATAGCGTCGATGTAGCGTCGATGTAGCGTCGATCAGCGCCGATTCGCGTCGATCCGCGTCAACTGGCAAGAGCCAAGCAGACGGTATCGGAGGCTCCCAGGAGTTGCCATTGGAGGGGCGCAAACGCGCGCTCTCCGTGCGATCTCTGTCGCGAGAGGGAGGTGTGAAACTTCCGCCTCCCTCCTCTGTGCAGCCGCAGGGCTGCGGCGAGCAGGAGGCAACGACAAAAATCACGACGGAAGTTGGGCTGCCATTTTGAAAACGATCCTGGGGAAGGGATACTGATCTCCAGGGCGGTCTTGATCTGTCATCCTTTTTTCCGGTATGTAACTTCGGATGTACATATATGCATATGTTTGTTCCTCTCTTTCGCCTCTTCCTTCCATTTGTCTTCCATCTTGCTCCCTCCATCACCCCCTTTTCTCCTCGTCCTTCTCTCTCCCCCCCCCGTTCACAAGTATCCGAAGCATGTGTTCCACCCCGTTCGCCAGGGCCCGCCCAGAGTCTGATCGGGTCGGGGAGATGTACCGAGCGATCGTCATTCGAAAAGAATGTATAAGCAATACGCACACTCCAGGACCAGTTTCGGGGGCCGTCCGATTACTTGAGATCCGTGCGTGGCGCTTCGCCATTGCGCTAGCCCACCTTGACTGGAACATGTGCAGTTCACCATCAGTCCTGCGCGCTGAAGCCGAGCACCTGTGGAGGGAACGAGGCGGGCAAAGACGACAGAGAAAGAGACAAAAAGAGAGAGAGAGAGAGAGAGAGAGAGAGAGGTCGGGAAGTGGCGGGCCCACTCTCTTCAAAGGAAGAGACGTTGGCAAACAAGCAGGCGTAACTCTTTCCCGGAAGAGCGTGTGAGTAAACATCTGGATGTTTCACCATTGTTTTTTGGTAGGCCGTCGAGCCATTCTCGTGGCGGTGGATCTTCGAGGGTCTCCAGAACAGAATAAGGAAATTATCCACAGTAGGTGTGGCAGAAGTGCATGGTACACCCTCGGGAAAGGCAAGAAGCGCACCCTCACCCGCGATAACTGCCAAGTCTCTCTGTCTCGTGGAGCTCAAGGGCTTGCCTCTCCAAGCTCGGCCACGCGCAGAGGAGGCAGGGGGAGGGGGGAAGGCTTCTTAGAAGCATTCGTGCTTTTTGGAAGGCGCGGGCCAGGTCTATAGATAAAAGGCCGGAGCCTTCTAAGAAGCAGCCTCTTTCTCAGAAGCGTCCCCCCCTCCCCCTAACCCCCGTGCGCGCGCCGCCCACAAGTGCTCATTGGCGAGCCAATCCCCCCCCTTCAGGACACCCTCAGGAAAGGCAAGCAAGCATCTCCCCCCAGAACCGCCAAGTCTCTCTGCCCCGCGGAGCTGCAAGGGCTTGCCTCTCCAAGCGCTCACTGGCGAGCCCATCCCCCGCCCCCCCGGGCCGAGGAGTGCGCACGCTCAACCTGCTGGGCCAGACGCAGAAGGCGCCCGCGCTCGCGCTCGGCGCTCGCCCTCCGCTCTTCGGGCTCGGTCAGCCCTGGCTGGCCCGTCGCCGCCGCCGCCGCCGCCTCAGGGCGATCGGCCCAGATGCGGATATCTGTCCAGGACTGGCACGTGCCCGAAAAACAAACAACCGCATCAACAGAAACGTGTGCCGCTCCGTGCGGATTTCTTGGTTCTGAGTCGGGGCCACCTGGCGGCGCCTCCGGCGCCGCCCCTGGCGCGCTCCGCGCGCCAGGGAGGGGGGGCCAGCACAGATTAGAGAAATCCGCGCGGAGGCCAACCAAAAGTTTCTGTTGATATTCATTTTGTTCCTCTACCTGCGCAGGTTCGCGTCGTGTCGACGCGGCGGCTTCTCCGCCGCGGGCGTTCAAGGTTGAGTGCCAGCAGTGGCCAAGCATCGGCAGATGCGAAGCGATCATTCAAGGTTGAACGATCCACGGGGGTCAGAAGCCAACGCTGGGGTCGTCACGACACTATCTTGCCGCATCCTTGGTGCTAAAAAGGCCTCCCCCAGAGGGGTCACACCGTAGACCGAACTGGGTGGGAGTCAGGAGTCGGCATCTTCTAAACTATCCCCGTCGGCCATGGTATCTCATCCTCGCCAGCCCATCCTCCCAGGAGGGGATAGGCCCCGCGAAACCCGAAGAAACTGGCAAATCTGATCCAGGTCAGGGCCCCGCCCCCCGCTCCCAACATGTTGATGGCATCGGGCCCCCCCCCACGATGGGTCCGCCTCGCCCCCCCCCTGTGGGTGTGGTGTGGTGCTGTGGGTGTGGCATGTTTATCGTTGTACTGTGGTGCTCCAGGAAAGATCTGGAGGTTGTCGTTGTCGCCGCCGCCGCCGCCGCCGCCGCCGTCGTCGTCGTCGTCGTCGTCGCCGTCGTCGTCGTTGTCGCCGTTGTCGTCGTCGTCATCGTCGTCGTCGCCGTCGTCGTCGCCGCCGTCGTCGTCGTCATCATCGTCGTCGTCGTCGCCGTCATCGTCGTCGTCTCTGATTCTCTGGCTCGGGGAGGGATGCTGAGGAGGAGGAGGGAAGGGGAGCGCAGGATGAAGAGGGCACACCGAAGAGCGGGGAAGACAAGGAGGAGGAGGAGAAGGAGGAGGAAGAAGAGGAGGAGGAGGTGACAGGGAGACGTCGACGAGGAAAAGGATGAATATAAGATGATAGGAAGAGGGAGAACGGGAAGAGGAGGAGGGTAAGGGGACTGCAGTGGACCAGGGATGATGGCAGCGATGACGCTGATGATGATGACGATGACTATGCCGATGACGACGCCGACGACGACCAGCAAGATGTTGATGATGCGGATGATGATGCTGACACGTACGATGACGAGGATGGCGATGGTGATTACGATGTTGGTGATCATGGTGATACTGATGATTGTTGTGATGGTGAAGGTGACCATGACCATGACGATGACGGGAATGAGGATGACAATGATGACGATGATCATGACCCAAGCTAGAAGCTGAGCGCGCGCGAAGCGCGCGCGATGGTTCTAGTACATATATGTGTATATAGATGCGTCCATACATACATCCATGCATACATGCATCCGTACATCCATACATCCATTCGTCCATCCATCCATGCATGCATACAGGCATGCATACATACATACACCATACATACGTCCATACATTCATCCATCCATCCATCCTTTCATCCATCCATCCATCCATCCATCCATCCATCCATCCACACATACATACATACATACAGACAGACAGACAGACAGACAGACAGACAGACAGGCAGGCAGACAGACATACATACATACATACACACATGTATCCATATGTATGCACGTGTCTATATTCACACCCACAAAAATACAGACAGCGGTAATGGCTTTGCCCCCTGCCGCTTGCCCCCCCCCCTCTCTCGGATAGTGGTGTATGCAAGAGCTATGTTGTGAGGCCTGGGCGCCGTCATCGAGCAGCGTCGGAACTCCAGACGGGGGCCACTTCGGTTCGGGTTTCCCGTCTCGGGTCTCGTGAGCCGTCTTGGGGTTTTTTTTGAGCTGCCTTGGGGCCCTCTTGAACCGTCTTGCGGTGCTCTTGAGAGCCTCTTGGGCCGTCTTGGGAGGCCTCTCTGGTCGTCTTTGAGCGTCGGAAGCCCGAAAAGGCGAGCGAGCGTACGAAAATCAATCAAACACTTGAGGAACATCGCAGACGATGGCCTCTGGGGCCCCTCTGGGGGGTGCTCTTGGGAGCCTCTCGGGAGCCTCTTGGGCCGTCTTGGGACCATCTTGGGCGCATATTGTGGCCTCGAAAGCGGGGGTTTATGGTTTCGGGGACTCCAAAAACGCGTACTTTACGAGGGTTCGTGGCTTCGGGGACGCAAATATTGCGTCACTGACACACGAGTATTGCCTCGAAGACGCGAACCTTGAGTTATTTACCAGGAGTGATGGTCTCGTGAGTGCGAGCACAGTGTCATGTGCTAGGGTTTATAGCCTCGGGGGCGCGAATATTTCATAATCGGCGAGGGAGTCTGGCCTCCGGGGCGCGAATACGTCGCAATTTGCGAGGAAGTATGGCTGCTCCCAGGACCCTCGGGCGGTGAAGGTAACTTGGGCCCTTCGCGCTTCAACCTTTCACAGTAGGAAGCAGAACACAGAATTGTAACACCGAAGACTGGAATTGGAGCAGGGAGCAGCAAGCCTAAGCCGCGGAGCCTGATGGCCTCGCAAGGGGGTCGGCGGATATGCGTGAATCTCTCTCTCTCTCTCTATATGTGTACATGTGTGTACGTGTATGTGTGCGTCTGCGTACGCGTGCGCGTGTGCGTATGCGTGTGCGTGTGCGTGTGCGTGTGCGTGTGCGTGTGCGCGTGGTGTGTGTGTGTGTGCTTGCGTGCGTGTGTGCGTGCGTGTGTGTCCGTGCGTGCTTGCGTGCGTGTGGGTGCGCGTGTGTGCATGCGTTCGTGTGTGCGTGCGTGCGTGAGTGCGTGCGTGCGTGCGTCTGTTTGTGTGGATGTGTGTGTGTGTGTGCGTGCGTGCGTGTGTGTGTGTGTGTGTGTGTGTGTGTGCGTGCGTGCGCGCGTGTGTGTGCGTGCGTGCGTGCGTGTGTGTGTGTGTGTGTGTGTGTGTGTGGTTGTGTGTGTGTGTGCGTGTGTGTGTGTGTGCGTGTGTGCGTGCGCGCGTGCGTGCGTGCGTGAGCGCGTGCGTGCGTACGCGCGTGCTTGCGTGCGTGCATGCGTGTGTTGTGTGCGTGTGGTGTGTATGTGCGCATGCGTGCGTGCGTGCGTGCGTGCGTGCGTGTGTGCGTGCGTGCGAGTGTGCGTGCGTGCGTGCGTGCGTGTGGTGTGGTGTGTGTGTGTGTGTTAGTGTGTTTGGTGTTCGCGTGTGCGAGTGTGGTGTGTGCGTGCGTGCGTTCGTGCGTGTGTGCGTGCGTGCTTGTGTGCGTGCGTGCGTGCGCTCGTGCGTGTGTGCGTGCGTGCGTGCGTGCGTTTGTGGTGTGTGCGTGTGTGTGTGGCATGAGCTGGTTTCGCAGGCGCCGGTTTCGCCGGCGCTGGTTTCGCCCCGCTGGTTTCGCCGACGGTTAGTTTTGCCAGCACTGATTTCGCCGGCGCTGGTTTCGCCCCGCTGGTTTCGTCCCGTTCGTTTCGTCGGCGGCTGGTTTCGTCGGCGCTGGTTTCGCTGGCGCTGGTTTTGCCGACGCCGTCGTTGCCGTCGGCGTCGGCGTCGGCGCCGCCGCCGCCGCCGCCGTCTTTATCGTCGCCGTCGTCGTCGTCGTCGTCGTCGTCGGGCGTCGGGCGTCGGGCGTCGGACCCGAGCGGGCGGGTCGGGTCGGGCGGGCGGACCCGAGCGGGCGAATCGGGTCGGGTCGGGTGGGCGGACCCCACCGGGCGGGTCGGGTTTGGCGGGCGGGACATTAAAGTGTGGGGCGCGCTCGGTCGAGCACGCGCGAACCCTGACGGGAGGGTCAGTTGGCGGGCGGACCCTAGCAGGCGGATCGGGTTTGGTCGGGCGGGCGGACCCGAACGGGCGGGTGGGGCCGGGCGGGCGGACCCTAGCAGGCGGGTCGGGTCGGCTCGGGCGGGCGGACCCGAACGGGCGGGTCGGGTCGGGCGGGCGGGACATAAAAGTGTGGGGCGCGCTCGACCGAGCACGCGCGAACCCTAACGGGCGGGTCGGGTCGGGCGGGCGGACCCTAACGGGCGGGCGGATCGGGCAGTTCCGCCGACGGCAGCTGGTTTCGCCGACGGCAGCTGGTTGCGCCGACGGCAGCTGATTTTGCCGACGAAGCTTGTTTCGCCGACTGGAGCTGGTTTCGCTGGGCGGTGAAACCAGCAGGGCGAAACACGCCGTCGGCGAAACCAGCGGTTGCTGTGTGTGCGCGCGCGCACGTGCGTGCGTGCGTGCGTGCGTGCGCGCGTGCGTGCGTGCGTGCGTGCGTGCGTGCGTGCGTGCGTGCGTGCGTGCGTGCGTGCGTGCGTGCGTGCGTGCGTGCGTGCGTGCGTGCGTGCGTGCGTGCGTGCGTGCGTGCGTGCGTGCGTGCGTGCGTGCGTGCGTGCGTGCGTGCGTGCGTGTGTGCGTGCGTGCGTGCGTACGTGCGTGCGTGCGTGCGTGCGTGCGTGCGTGCGTGCGTGCGTGCGTGCGTGCGTG